CCCCCCCCCCCCCCCCCCCGAAATCGAGAAGATCGAACAGCTTCAACTAACACTAACATAGCGTAAAACATTTGTTCCAACAGTACTCTGTAACCGGCTTTACGTCATTCACTTTGCTATGTTATAGGTTCACAGGTAAACAGTCGCATTACCTCGGTTTATAAAACTGAGCAGCAGGCTACGCCAGCAGATACGTGCATGAACTTCTTTTACAGAGAGATCATAGGGGGAAAGACAAGGGGAAATTGTGAAACTTGATTCTCCGAACTTGATTCATACCAAAGGTAACGAAGGGCAACTGAAGGACGCTGTATGGCAGAAACGTGGACTACATTGAAAGGGCGTTTTCCCCAGAGACTTAAGGCTCACCGTCTCTTTGATTTCCAGAAGCTTTCATGAAAACGACGGGAACGGATTCAATGAATTGCCAGCGTCTCCTCAAACCGAATCCCCAATAATTCTTGACAATCAATAATAAAGAAAAAATGGACCCACCGAATTATCCAACGGACCGTGACCCATTTGAATGCGGCTGAGATCCAAATGGCATTCCCATTCGCTGCACTGGGTCAACTGGGGAAAGGTATTAGCCAGCCGAGGAGTCCTTCGGAGACCTGCCGACATGCACTTACTACCAATAAATTCTATTCCATTGATTTCTTCGAGCTCCATTAGAACGACACCGACGGATTCAGAAAGATCTATGCAAGTCTCATTGTCTCGTGTAACGCAATCTTTCATGGTATTTAATAAGTAAGGTGACTGACTCTCAAAAGTTACTTTTATTTCATGGTGGAACATTTGAATGAGTTTCTCTGCAGATAAATACCCAAAAGACGTTCTTGCTCGATGCATGAGAAACTGGACTGCCGAATTTCCCTGAAACAACTCTTTCCCAATTCGATCCCGAACGAAAACAGAAAGCGAGCAAGAAATAGGAATTCTCACCCTCGTATCCCTCATTGGGAATAAAATGGGATCTGATGAACCTTCCAAGCTGGACGTGGCGATCCATCCGAGGATGGATGGCAACTGGCCGATAGAGCGAAACGCTGAGAACATCCATTGGGAGGACACGCCTCAGATTGGATGGCAGGAAATGGGTCGAGCGGAGTCGGCATGGATGTGAATCACATGAGTCTCGCCATATTCAAAAGGAAATTCAGAACAGCCAGACGTCGCGAAAGGGACTGATGCCGACACGGTTGGTCACGTTTCCCGTCGTCCGGCCACCTCAAGACGAAAGAAAAAGAAGACGGTCATACAATAAGTCCCTTCTGACATTAATAACACCGATCTGATAAGCTCTTTAAGTCTTTGACTCCACTCCGTGCTGAATTCTCTCGCTGCCTGGGTATCGGCTTCATCGGGATCCAGGTTCCATCTTCACCTTAACGTCGTGCAACCGCCGTACTCCCGAGAAAGCTAAATACAACTGTTCGTGGGAAAGTACAGATTCATGAATCTAATCCCTTTGAATGTTTGCCCTCGATTCTTGTTGCTAGTCATAGCCAAAGCAACACGAATCGGAGCCAAGTCAATACATGGAAGCAACAATATGCGGAAGCAACAATACGTGGAAGCAACAATACGCGGAAGCAACAATACGTGGAAGCAACAATACGTGGAAGCTCTTCGTCCTTCAGCAATACTTCCACGTCCAACAGTTCTCACGGAATCGCACAAGTAAGAATCGAACTCCGATAACCAGGCTTTCCTTACCATTTAGGTTTCTGATAAGCATGACGATTATACCAGGCTTTAAAGTGAATTTGCAAGCAAGCCCAGT